TGACTAACACAATTTGAGCACGGTAGATCTTCTATTTTAAAAAAGAAAAGAAGACCTGCAAGTAAATGTTTGGGATTTTTCGAGGCAGAACGATGACATGATGTCAGAATTTTGATTTGCTTTCATTAAATAGGCCTTTTTACAGTTCCCGGCGCCATCTTGGAATAGTAACCGCGCAAACATCATGTCGAGGCTAACGTTGAGTCGCATTTCGTACCTGGTGTGTTTAACAGAGAATCTACACCCATCCTTGCTTTTTCTCCCGTTTTGTCCTGCTTTTTTTCGCCATACTTTTCGATAATGAACAGTAATAATACCCACCAGGATACTCCTCCGTCGATTTCGAAGAGAAGAGGGAAACAGTGTGCCGTTTACGGCTGTCACAACAGCTATTACAATGACAAGGGGCTCTTCGCCGGTTACCATTTTTTCAGTTTTCCAACCGACCCCAAGACCAGAAATCGCTGGTGTAACCTTATAAAGCGGCAACATGGAAAGGATGACTTCAATGTAACTGCTGCAACTGTTGTTTGCAGTGAACATTTTAGACAAGAAGATATTATAAGAAAATTGACCCGCAGGTACTTAAAGAAAGGTATGTGACATGCAAAAACAGATATAAAAAAGTCATATATAGTAAATATTTCATTACAGCTGCATTATCAGCTAAGTTTTTGTTCCTTTGTACATTAAGCTTTAAAATTGTAACACTGTATAGCTTTTGACTGAAGGTTGGCTTTTCACATCGAAGGAAATATAGTTACCCCAATACAACATTTCAATACCATTGGATTACTGTTGTGCATCATTAATTGTACCAAATTCCCTAGTGCTATATAGATGTACTGAGATCAAAAACATTTAAACTGACATTACAGTTAAGTATTTTTCATAACTGTATCGAAATGACCATTAACCACAACATGTTCATTTATTATGGTCATGTAATTATTTTGATTTTTATTGCATTTTGTTTTAAGGTGCTGAGCCATCTCAGTTTTCAGGGAGCGTGCCAAAAAAGTCTCGAAAAAGGCGAACCCAGACTAAAGTAGTTTTAGCTCAGGAAATGGATGTTGTAGACTCCTCGGAAGTCACTGAAGACGCAATAATCATATCAGTGTCACCTGAAATAGTTTCCACCGCAGTCAGCAGCAGTCAATGTTCAAATTCATTAGCTAATGATCTGGATCGAGCTGAAACCTCTAAAGGCAATGTTGTTGAACAACTACAGAAGCATATTACATTACTGGAACTAAAGTTAGCTGATCGTGAAGAAAAGTTGGCAGAGATGGAAAAAGAGAATGAGATTTTGCTAGGGCGCCAATTTTCCTTAGACAAAATAAAGGATGATAATTCAGCAATCCTATTTTACACTGGGTTTCCTTGCTATGAAGCACTGATAAGTTTTTTCAAGTATCTTGAGCCAAAATTGGGGAAAATGCAGTACTGGAAAGGAGAACACTTAGTGAGAGAGAGCCAGCCTTATCAAGAGGATGAAAATAGAAATAAGCCTGGACCTTCCAGGAAATTAACATTTCTTGATGAATTTCTTTTAGTATTGATGCGACTGAAGGCTGGATTATTCGTGCAGGACCTTGCAGACAGGTTTGGTGTTAGTACAAGCCTTGTGTCCAGAATATGTATAACCTGGATCAATTTGTTGTACTTGGAACTCAAAGACCTTTTCCCTTTTCCATCACAAGAGTTGGTACGCAAAAACATGCCAGATGAGTTTGCCGAGTTTGCAACAACTAGAATAATATTGGACTGCACGGAGATATTAATTCCGCGTCCCTCTGCCATGCTTGCGCAGTCTGAAACTTGGTCAGACTACAAGCACCACAATACTTGGAAGCAACTTGTGGGAATCACTCCAAATGGGCAAGTCACCTTTCTTTCTGACCTCTGGGGTGGGCGGGTGTCAGACAAACAGATAACCAGAGAAAGTGGAGTGCTAGATTTATTGAATAGTGG